CATTTATTCAGTAACATAATTCAGTAAGTCATGAAAAACATGAATCACGATATTTTTGTAAAATTATATTCACTATAATTGGATAACTTGATTGGTCTAAAAAACAGTAAATAATCTGATTGATCATTTCATTTTCATAACATCATGTAATATCTCAGATTATAATTTAAGAACAAAAAAAGAGTAAAAAAAGTTGAGTTCGTTTAGGTGTTGAAGAGTTTAGTGAAAAAAAGTTGAACCTGTATTAAGATGTGGAGATGAACATTATTCACTTGAAAACTGTTAAACCTTTTAAAAGCTTTCCAAGCCTTTTAACCATGAAATGATGATTATTGAAATTAATGAGTAAATTAATTATTCCTTGATCAGGGTCAATTCGAAACGGCACCAGCACCCAATCACAATTACCACCATAGTCTGGGCCCTCTTCCACCACCACCACCACCTCCACCCTCAGCACCAAGTCACAGTGAATTAGGTCCACCAGGCCCACCTCTTCCTCCTCATCATCACCCAATGATCAATAGACCAGGTTACATGTTATCCAACTTGCCTCCACCCAAAGGACATGGTAACCATCATGGATCCATTTACTCTGCTCATGGTATTCCACCTGCACATGCATCAGGCCATCCATCAGCTCATCCACCACCACCACCACCACCTCCAGGACCAGGTCATCCAGTGGAAAATTCAATTGAATATGGACCAGAAGCTGGTCATCCTTATCAAGGTTCGTCTTTACTTGAATTAACCTTAATCATTTTTCTGGTTCTTCTTCGTGTTCTTCATTCATTCTCATTTTCATGTTCTTATTGTTTCAGGTTCAGGTTATGATGGTCAAAGTGGACCACAAAATGTTCCAGTCGCTCAAGTGGCTGTTGCTCCAGCTCCCCATCATGGCTCATCTAATGGTGGACAACAAAATGAAAACTGGCCTTTGCCAGCACCTGATATGCCTAAGATCGCTCATTTGGATGTAAAGTGCGAAAAGAATCTAATGAAAGTCGCAATTGAATTCGATAAACCATTCAATGGAATAATCTTCTCCAAAGGTCATTATTCTCATGGAAATTGTGTTCATTTACCTGCTGGTTCAGGAAGAAATTCAGTCTATTTCGACATTGGAATAACTACTTGTGGAACAACTGGAAACACACAAAATGGTCTTTATGGTTATGGAGCTTCATCAGGAAGTGGAACCTTCTTCGAGAACACAATCGTCATTCAATATGATCAACAAGTCCAAGAAGTTTGGGATCAAGCACGGAAACTTCGATGCACTTGGCATGATCAATATGAAAAGTCAGTGACATTCCGTCCATTTCCAGTGGACATGTTGGATGTGGTTCGAGCTGATTTCGCTGGTGACAATGTTGGTTGTTGGATGCAAATCCAAGTGGGTAAAGGTCCATGGGCCTCTGAAGTGGCAGGAATCGTCAAGATTGGTCAAACAATGACAATGGTTTTGGCCATTAAAGATGAAGAGAACAAGTTCGATATGCTTGTTCGTAATTGCATTGCTCATGACGGTAAACGAGCTCCTATCGAACTGGTCGATTCACAAGGATGCATTGTTCGACCCAAACTAATGTCCAAATTCACTAAGATCAAGAATTTTGGTTCTTCAGCAACCGTTCTTAGTTATGCTCATTTCCAAGCCTTTAAATTCCCTGATTCAATGGAAGTTCACTTTCAATGTACAATCCAAATATGCAGACACCAATGTCCTGAACAATGTTCAGCTTCGACTGTCGGTGGCCCTGGTTCAGTTGAAGCCCTTCCAGGTTCTTCTTCTTCAGTCTCGTCTTCCTCTTCAGGACCATCCAATGGACCCATCGAAGGTCGACTTGGACAACAACAAGAAAGTTATGTTGCTTCAGCTTCTTCTTATCATGGTATCGGTAAACCTCGTGAAGAACGTGATGTTTCTCGAAGACTCGAAGATATGATTAAATCTGAATATTCAATGGATGCTGCAACTGAAATTGGTCTCAACAGGATAATCAAAGTTGTTTCAACAAGTGATTTAGCATTTAATTTAGGATCAAATGAATCAGTTCCACTTCTGGACATGACTGATCTCGAACCAATCGATCAGATTTGCATGTCGACCATTTCATTCGCCACTTCAGTTATCGTTTTAATTATAATTTTAATTGTTTCTTGTTTAATTTCAGTCTTCCTTTGTCTCTACCATCGATCAACTGAAAAGTCAAACAAACTGAACAACTTATCAATGCCATATGAGATTCGTACTTATCCAAGTTCAAAATGCTCAACACTCAATGGATTGCCTGGACGTTAGATGGACTAGACTCGACTAGACTTGACAAACTATTAATCAATTATTAGATGCTTTTAAAGAAACAAATTTTTCTCTCTCCTTTCAGTTCTTCAATTGTATTACAATGAAACCCACCTTCGTTAATTGGTCTAAACTAATGAAAGATTGAGAGTGAGAGAGATCATAATTCATTGGTGCCAATTAATCAGATAATCAAATGAGTTGTTTAAGTTTCACATTTCATGAGAAACACTCGTTTGTATCTTTATATTCATCTTTATATTCATCTTCATCATCTTCATCTTTTCATCTTTTCTTCTTCTTCTTCTTCTCATCTTCACCAACTCCATCAACTCCATCATCTTCATCACCCATTTCATCAAGATTAACAACTTTATCAACTTTAATCATTCCAGTCATTAATATAATAGTTTAGTTGATAAATTGTTCAACATTAAACAATTGAACTTGAATTCAATTTTGGTTGGGAATATCAATAAAAGAGTTAAAGAATCAACAACAACAACAACTGTCAATCAAATGGATGGATAAAGGAATCAATCATTCAATGAATCAATGAATCAATGAGACAATCCACTTTCAGTATGCAACATTTGCAGCCAACAAGAGAATCTTTAACTTTTTATTTTTGGATAACTTTAAATTCACATAACTTTATCAAATTAATGTATATAATGGTTTTGTGAACAAATCAATCAATTAATTATTAATTAATAATTTATATAAAAAATTGTTGATCAAAAAAAAAGTTTCTTTTTTCATTCCTTCAATCCTTCCTTCCTTCAATTACTTGCTATTATTATCACTATTATTTTAACTGTATTTGATGAAAGTATTAACCTTGATTCGGAAGTTTAGTATAAATTTAGATTAAATTGTTTATAATAATGAGTGTTGCAGATGAGGAGGAATGAGTAGTCATGAGGAGCCAGAATAGGTTAGAGTTGGTAACCTGTTTATTAACAAGTTATTTACAGGTTGATCAATATATGGAATCAGGTAACAAATTGTTGCCATATTATACTGGCTACTGCATTTAACAGGCACAAGTTGAGGTGATTTAGGTCACTTTGAATGGCTTAAACTAGCCAAGTCACTAAACTCGTTCACAGGCAAATGCAATATTTCAATGATGAGAGAAGAAGAGGGAAGAAGAGAGAAGAAGATGTTCATCTTTATCATCCTTATTATCAGAGTGATCATGAGGATAAACGAAATGGTGATGAGAAGAGCTTCAAGCTTCATTCCGACTGTAAACATGAAAACTTGAACTTGTTAAATGTTTAGATTAAGGAAACAAAAAGCACCTCCAATGACCCAATTGATTATCAAATAAATGATTGACTTATTAGTCATTATTAGACTTCATTGGACTTCATTGGACTTGATTAGACTTTTATTAATATCATAAAATTATGATTATCATTTAGTCATTTATTCATTCCTTTTTATCATCACACCAAATTGAATGTTAAATCAAATTGAAATGTTTTCTTAATCATTTAGACATTTTGATCTACTTTTTAAAATATTGTAGACCAACCTTGTTTAAATTGAAATGCTTTTGACGCATTTTTCAATATTTATTCAAAGATTGTTATCATATTATCATGATGAGACTCAAGTCCTTGTTGAGTTTATAAACACGGAAGCTGGTGAATGAAAATATTTATCAAGACAGATTGATAAATTGGCTTTGAGCAATGAAATGATGAAAAGTATTAAAGGAGTGTTCATTTACCTTGACCTTTAACTGGTCGTTAGACAGACAAATGGTTACAATTAGACAGACAAAAATCATGTTACCAGATGCAATTAAGTACCATTAACCAATCAGCAGTCTTACAACTTTAAAGTCAAAAAGTATCAAATTTAGCCAGTTTTGGTTACAAAAATATCATGCAACTGTCAACTAAAAAGGCTTCCAAGTCTTCGAAGAAGAGATCCGTCACAATATCACGAAATGAAGATCAAGAATCAAGAATCCAAAAAAAGGCCTTCCAATACGAGCTTTCATTAGAAGTGAAATTTCGTAAGTGATGAAAAAAATTCGAAATAGCTATTCTGTCTTGATTTTCCCATGAATTTGCTACTAACTTGAATAAAAAACCTACTCAGTGCAACTTTGTACAGATAATTTTCATTGAATCCACCAATTTCGCACTCGCAATCGACATCTTTAGACAAAGTTGCCTTGAATAATTTACTGGAATAAAAAAGTTTATCCTTTGGAAATCAGTTACTCATGAAAAATTTTCTTATAAATTGATTAAACTTCATAACTGATGCAACTAACTTACTCTAACAAGTAAGACCCAACATCTCATGCGACAAAAGTTATGCTTTCATCCGACCCAAGACGGAACAAATAGTCAGCCAGTGGCACCATCTGAAGAGTTATAATCAAACTAAAGCTAAATTTTTCTCAACTTCGGTAAAACTTCGGTATTTGGTCAGTCATGTTATTGCAACTTAACACGCTTTTATGTAACTTTTTCATAACTCACCAGGTTTAAGTTAGCTTATTTTGTGCTTTGAAAACGATTTTCATTGATATTTTACTGGTCGATCCATTTTTTAAGTTTCGTTACCGAGACTTTTGCACATCTCAAGATATCAGTTGAATATTGATCCGGATCCGATTCAAGATACCACATGTTGGTTACTCAGTGTTCAAGTTAATTACTAGAAAATGGTTATTTATCAAGTTGGTTAGTATAACCAATAACTGTGATTGTGTTACGACCAGCTATACTGACCAGTAACAGGCTGGTTGCGAGTTTAAAGCAAAAAATCTTTGAAATAGAAAATTAATTTTCTTTTGTTCTTTTAGCGCCATCTTAAGTTTAACCAGAAAAACTTTGATTTCTCTTTCTTTTTCTGGTTTCTTTTGAATTTGCCTGAAAAAGTTACCGGTTACTTAGCTTATAGGATCGGTTAGTATAACCATTAACCGGTTACTTTCTCTTCCCCTTTAACCAAGTAACCGGTTACCAGTAAACACACAATTTCAACCAATCACAGAAAAGACAATCATATGTTTATTTTGATTCTTATTTCATAACATTGATATTTTTTTGTTGTACTTATTGTTACTTATTTTATTGGTCAATAATCAATTGCTGCTCAATTACTCATCGTTTAAAATAATCTTTTTACCATCTTCCCTTTTATCCAGCTAAATCAATGTCAAAAACAAATCATCGGACGGACCGGGACAAAGACAAGTATGAACCACCTAACCCGAGACGAGTTCACACAATTATGTCCTCCGAGGATGTGGCTGCCGGTAAAAAATCTTTCTGGCCTGAGCTTGAGATTACAGGTACATATTGTTCATGTGTTCATCTAGTGTTTTTTCAATCAATGCTGGAAAATTAAATTTCTCCCGGCTAAAAATTTACCGCAATCAGCTGTTGAATCAAGTGACTTGTCACTCTATTCAACTCTTTGCTTTATTGTAACCAACAACTATTGATCTTTTCATTTTTGTCCCTTCTCTAATTTTCGTAGGAACCATCCGAAATTTAAGTCCAGCTCTATGGAATATGACACATTTGACGTCGCTTTATCTCGATAATAATAATCTGTGCCGTATACCATCGGATATCGCACGGCTTACCAATTTGACTCATCTAGATTTATCGTCTAACAAATTGCGAACATTACCATCAGAGCTTGGAGATCTTATACGTTTAAGAGATCTTCTATTAAACAACAATAGCCTCCGTGTACTACCATATGAACTTGGTAAATTATTTAAAATTCAAAACTTGGGTAGGTGTTATTAATATTTCATGATGTTCACTGTTTTATTGCCACTCTTTTCTCTATCTCATCTGTTGATTATGGATGGCATAATGTTTATTTATACACACTGCATGATTGTCCTTGGATCTTTGGACAGTAAATAGATTAAATTGTTTTAATATTGACAAAACAAATTTTAATTTAGTGATTATTCCTTGCTTTTAAAACTAATGATATTTCCCTCTTTTCTTACAACAGGACTTGACGGTAATCCACTCACCCAAGAGATATTGGTTATTTACAAAGAACCAAATGGCACCCAAAAACTCCTTGAATACCTTCTAGACAACTTAGTGGGTAAGTTGTTAATTATACTCGCAATATTTTCTCTTCGGTTATTTGACGGTGTTGAACATCAATTGAAACCAAGCTGCACCAGAAAACACAAGTAAAGGTTGACAAATTGGAAGACAAAATTACCAAGTTGACAAAATTCATTGGTAAATGGAAATTGTCCAACACAAGGTCTCAACTAGCAATTTGATTAACTGTTGCTCGCTTCCCCATGCTCAATTTAATCTAAATCAGCAATTACCCGCTCACTAACCTGCAGAGTTGTTTACCTTTCTCCATCAATCTGAATGACACTTCCATGTTCGTGACAATAACCCAAAACCTTGACCTTGACACACTTGTTTTTCTGGTAAATCATTTCTATGCTTATTTTGCAATTAATCAAGTTGCGAATTTCCATTAAATGATCTTCCCAGCATATCGTTTAAACCTTGTCAGTACTTTATCTCTCTCTCCCCATGATCTTGGGCTTGAAATTTCTCCATGAAATTTTACTTCCATTAGACTAAAGGTTGAAATACTTAAGAGCAAAGTTTTTTATTTCACAAAAAGTGCATTAATAATGCAACTGTATATCCCATGTGCATCAAATGAATTTCTGACTATAATTTTGGTTGATAATTTATGTTCATAAAAATGTAATTCTTTTTATTGAACATAAAGAAATTTATGACTTGAACCTGATTTTTACTATTTTATGTCGCTCCGATTGGCTTTTGTGTCAGATTTTTCTTCTCTAATTTGAATCAGGAAACCAAAGCTATTGTGAACTTTTTCTAAACAATAGCTTCCAAAATTTGAAATCTGATTGATTTTTTGAGCTATTAATTGAAAAAAGGACAATAGTTTTTTTTACTGAAATAATAAGAATACGTTGTTCCACTATTTGTTGAAAAATTGATTCTCATAATTTTATCATTACCATCATTAGATTGCTTAAATTTTATCTCCTCAAGATGGACCATTTGAGCAATATTTTTTTACAGCTATTTATATAAAAATATATTTATAAATCTGAACTTTCTCAGTGAGGTAAAGAAGAAGAAAAAAGAAGATCTAACCTTGAAATTTGCCTTCATAATTCATGATTTCATGTTTTTTTTGTTTCAATCATTACACCATATCTTTTATAATCTCATGTTAAGCTGAATTTACCAATTTAAACATAGATTAAGTTAATTAACTCGCAATTACAGTTCTTGCATCAAGTGTACATTTTTTACACCAACTGAACCATTCTTGTAATGGTTATTCAGCTAGCTATTTAATGTCTTCTTGAACATGGCTTTCTTGGGTGAATCCAGTTAATGTCGACCCCGTTCTTTTGAAATCATCGCAAATTGGGCTTTCCTCAATTCTTGTTTCTATTATTATTAGCGGCAAGCTATTAGTGTGTACCTTCTATTACAACAATCTGTATCCATCATAACCAGTTCTAGTAGGCCTGAGTACTTCAACTGAAGAATTGAATCAGTAGAAAAGAGAGGGAGAAAAGGAGGAAAACAGGAGTATTAAAAGACTTGGTGAGCAGTGAATAATGTTGAGAAGAGTGAGAAAAGAGAGAATCATTGAGTGAGAAACTCCTTCACCTATCTTTTAGTGTGTCATCCAGAATCCTTCCTCATCAGCATCTCACTTTACATTTAGCCAAAGTGAACTTCACTTGAGTCACCAAATTACATAATAAAATTGAGTGCAAAAAGTCCAAAATTGTATCAACACAAGCAAATATTTAAATTGATTTTTCGTTAACAGTTTACTTAACTGTCACAAGTGTTCATCAAATCATCATGATTGCATAGTCAAACTTGAACTGTTTATAAGTTATATAATGCTTTCATCGATCTCAATGTGAATCCCTCCAAATCTGTGATTGTGATGAACCCATTCTTGGACCAACAATGATCGGTGCCCATCGGATTAGCCTTAAAACTTGTACAAATTAAAAGTGTATTACCTATTATGATACAAAAAACTGACCAAAACTAATATTTGATAAATGACATTATTCCCATTTGTTGAAACTTCAACCTTCAAGCTCGTTAGTGTCTCACTTTGTCAACTGCAATTTGATTTATTCATTTTTTTCAATCATAAATCGCTAATTTTTCACTCTTGAATCGATGAATTTCCATTAATTTTCTTTCGACTCAGTAAATACTTGAAATTTTTTTTCGCTCATTCAATTTCACTTAAATGACAAGAAAGGAAATTTCAAGTTGCTATTTGTCAAGTTGTTATTATTAGGCCTTATTGTTGATTTGATGTTGTTACCTCTATTGTCTCCCTTACCTCTCAATCAAATACACATTACTAAATAGTCATAATAGTCAGTTTGTATTTTAAATTGCATTTATAATTCAATTAAACTGTGATTTCAATCACCAGATATACACTTTGAGCCTTGTTACTCTCCATCAACCCGTAACAAGACGTAAAATTAATCCATACAATCAACGCAACAAAGTAATTTAGTTGTACAAATCTCTAAATAGTCTTTGTTTTTTCCAACTATTTTCAAATCATTTCAATAACCAGAATCAAATCAAGGCTTAACTTCGTACTGTCTCCTTATTGCTCTCCTTCTCTCTCCCTGACAACCTTATTTTCACAATCATTAGCCACTCTTGTTATTGTTGCATCAAATGTTGTTGCAGCAAAAGCGGTAAACTTGTGTCAGCAGTTATCGTTCTGCGTTTCGCTTGGCAAAGTGAATAGGTCACAATAGAGTCCGGTGAAGGTTGAAAAGTTTCATCAAATTAGTTACTTAACATAACTTGCAAAACTCATATCAAATCGACCAACCAAAAACCGTATCTGTCATTTCTAGCCCAGTTACTCTTTGACCTCAACTTTCAACTTATTTCAACCACTTATCATCAAAGACCTTTCAAGTTTTTATCATATTTGCCTGTTTCTTTCCCCTGTTTTTCCATCATGACTTGTTCTTGACATTTTTCTTCTTTTCTTTTCTGTTGTTACTTGTTTATTAGTTTATCTCCCTTTGCCAATCTATTATCAACAAAATCAAAATCTTGTTATTCTAGTAAACAAACAAATCTCACTCATTTCCCATTGTTTTTCATCATTTCTGTCTCTTCTGTTCAATTATCAAATAATAGTTTCGTTCATTTGAATCATCTTGAATACAACTTTGTTTTTGTTCAATTTCGATGGGTCATTATGAGACAAAGAAATTTGTTTCTCTAACTATTTGCACTTTTCGAGTAAAGATTATGGTTAAAAATATTTCAAATAACTTTATCAACTCAACTGCAACTACAAGTGGACTTACAATCCTTTATCAGTGTCAAAATAAAACTTGTATTAAGTTATGTCACCTCATCCGGACTTTCAAAAATATGTTGGTTCCTATTTAATAAGCCATCAAATTAATCGGAATAAATTGGTTGGTGTTCAACCAAACCTTGTTAATGGAAATAATGTTCACACCAGTGGTAACTTGACCAACATCAAGCAAACCCATTCAAGTTCAACTTCATGTTTCCTACCAATTGGTGGTCCATCAACTGGCAACGGTGTTGGAGTGATTAAAAATGGTAATACAATTGGTGGATACAATGATCACCATCATCTTGTCCACCATATTCACCATCAACCGCCAACATCACCACTCGTCTTTAACCGATCAAATGGATTACCATTGGATTCACCAGTTTCATCCTCACCAGGAGGATCACCTTCAAACCAAGCAACAGCAGCAGTAATTGCTGCAGCCACAGCCATGGCCACTGCAAACATGAAACGGTTAAATGGAACCGGTGAACACATGATTGTTAGTTCAACCTCAAATGCCCACCATTTCCATCATAGACCTCACATGCACTCATATACACCACCCTTGGGCACTCCACCGAACCAGTCTCCTCTAACCGGAATCTTACCCGGACCCTATGTTGGAGGGTGTTGTGATCATTTGGCTAATGGTGCCTCACCACCTGGATCCGTTTGTAAATGCTGTGGAGGTGTTCAGGTTAACCCTTGTGGCAGTAACAATGCTATTAACGGAGGTTCACTTGGAGGCGGAGGTGGAAACAATCAAAATTATGTTACTAATTATGCTTGGACTGGAGTACCTCTGATCAATGTTTCAAATGCAAGTTACAATTACCGTAATCGATCTCATGCACAGTCACCTGTTTGGGCTAAAACAAACCCTCCAGGCAGAGATGAGCAATCAACATCATCAGACCCGTTATCATTAACATCATCTTTATCATCATTATCAGCAACAAAAACAAAACCATCATCAGGAATGAAAGAAGGAGGCCATAATGAATTGAATGAAACCGATGAATCCGTTATTGAAACTAACCAATCGCCCGATTCTTCAATCCATGTTATTGATGAGAATTGCGCAAATTTTGTATCTAATTTAATTAAACCTGAATCGGTAAGCAATAACAAGCAGGGTGAAGATGATGTGGTCAATGGTGATAATGAGACCAGGGAGCAATCAGGTTGCTTGAGTGGTTTGAAAAGTTTTGCTTCTCTAACCATTAGTGAAGAAAAGGTTGATTCTGTTGAAAATTCCCAAATTTTCAATGTTCCCTGTCGATTAAACTTGGACAATCGGGAATCAAGTTGCGATTCCATCTATCTATTGGATGGTAAAGGAATCAATTGTGAAATTGATAATTCAAATTGTCCACCAATTGATCCATTAGCAAGCAACTCGTCGGGTTCAGAATCGCCTGAAGAACGAAACTGTTTAAACAATTCATTTGAAGAGTTGCCCATTAATACTTTTAGAGCGCTTTTGTCTGATGGTCTAAATATGGGTTCTGAAGATTCTTCAGGTAATTCTGAAAAGAGTTTACCTCGAGTAATTAAACCACGAAAACGGCGTAAAAAGGATCGTAAGAATGTTCAACAACAAGAACAACAACTTTTATTGTTACTTAAACAGCAACAACAACAAAAGCAAAATGAATCAACAAACGGAATACTTGGAAAGCCAATTGACTCAATAAGTGTTGATCACGTTGCTTCAGCTGGTTACCCATCAACTTATCTCATGCCTTCTGGTTCATCGTGTTCAGGACGTGACACTATGCATTATATACCATTCATGTTGACCTACGGCCAAACAGGTTATCCATTTAGTGGAACTCCTGCTCACTCTGCCCCTGTCCATGCATCCAATACAAGTAATGTTGCCTCATCGGCACCGGGTTACACTCATCATGCAAACCATTCAAGCTCAAGTAACGGAAGTCAACAACAGTTAAGCAATTACGGATTAAACTATTCTACTGATCTCATTTTGCCTTCAGGTTGTGGGTACGGTTTAGATGGGCCAAACAACAACAACCGCTGTAAAAGTGCAATTCAAACTACAAAGAAAAACTGTGATAAACTATTTTACGTAAACAACAATAGTCCATCTTCGTCGCCGTTGCCACCTTTATCCAGTAAAGGTACTTTCCATCATAATCATCATCAAGAAGCACTTTCACATTTGCACCAACACTCACAGAATCTCCCATCTTTTTCAACCTTACCCTCCACTTGTCACAACCTAACATCCGATTGTCGATGTTTGGATTGTCTGTCACCATTAATCTCTTCGCGTTCATCTTCGGCTTTCCTCACTCCTCCAATGTCACCCTTGGTTGATGTTGGTACCTTTCATCATCACCATCTTCACCATCACCATATGCAACAACAAAAGCAACAAAAGTTCACCTCTCAAGGTAACTCTTATGAATCTGAGATGCAGCAACATCTTTGTGATATTAAACTATCTGAAGCTGCTCACAATCCTGAACTTGAATTTCGCACAAGAATTGTTACAAACCCAAGTGGTGGTCGAGATCTAGAGATTAAATTTCTCAACCTTTCCGGTAGTCGGCAAGTTTCATGGAGTCAAAATGACCCTCTATCCTCATCTCCATCTCTATCACCTTATTTGACCTCAGAAGACTCAAATTCAGGTTTCTCTATCAACAGTTACGAACGTGAGTTCCTATCTTCCAATCAAACACACACAAACACTCAAATCAACCTAAACTTATAATAGTTTACCAATTTTTTTACTTCTCTCTCTCTCATCTCTTCTCGATCAATTGTTTGTTGACTCATTCAATGCTATTACAATTTACTCATTGTTCAGTTTTGATTGCATTCTGTTTACTTGAATTTGTCTAATTGGTAACTATTTACGATCAAATCGTTTTACAAATCTTTCTTTCTCTCAATAATGGCTTCACTTCATTTACTTAGCTATTTGAGAGTTGAACCAAATTAAGAAAAAAAATCCGAATGGCAAAGTCTGAGCGAATCTATTGGCACTTATTTTAGATGCTTGCTATTCTTGATTGTACTGAATTAAACTTTGCTGGCGACGAATTTCAATATTCAGAATCCAAAAAAAAGTTTTCTTCCAAAATCTACTCAATTTGAATTCTGTCTTCTTCTTCTTTCTACTCTCTTGAGCAAAAATTTTGCAACAGATTCTGATATTACTGTGCTGAAAATTTTCCCATAAAGCAACAGTTAGAAACAGCTTTTTTGGTCGGGTTGAGCATAATAATGATGATAATAATGATGAGATGGAAGATACTTAAAGAACGATTTGGAATAAGTTTGGCATGATGTGAAAAGAGAACAGAAGAAAAAAGAAAAAAATAGTTCAGTGTATCCTTTCTTCTGTAATCATGTCTTTTTGCCTCATTAACCATCAATCAAATCCCGTTGGTGCTGATTGAATTTGTGATCCATGATTTTAATATTTATTATAGCTGTGAAAAAAGCATTATCTGTTCCAATGTTTTCCAAATCAATTTATCCTCATCTCTTTCCCCTAAAACAGATTCAAATCTAATTATTGATGTTTTTTCATTTCAAATTTCCTTCTCGACTATCCAATTATTGTAAACTAACCAGTGTTTAATCATGTAAATCACTAAACTGTCTTGAACAATGAGATTAACCATATTTTATGATGAACCCTCTTCGCCATACTAACCAATATAATTAAGGTCACTCTTGTAATAATGGCCTGTCTTTCATTTGCATCAACTATTATTTCTTTTCTTTCTTTTCTTTCTTTTCTTTGTTTGCCCATTCTCTCTCTTCTCTAACCATTTGTTTATTTAACCTTAACTCGCTCAGAAAACCCGGAACTTTTCACCTTAATCTCCTTTGAATTTTTTTCCTCATATTTGGGTAAAAAAACTGGTAACCTTTCTCATTGCAGCAATTGAAGGCCCACCCTGGTCATCATCAATCTGTATGATAATAGAAGCTATTTTGTTTATCTTGCTTTGTTTTCTTCCGTTCAGTTTTTTTACTTCTTTGTATCAACACTATTATCTGTTCATCAACTGTCAAATAATTGTATAAAAAAAATGGCTAAATGTTGGTTAGTTTCATCTGATTCTTATTTCATCTTTTCTTTATTGTTACAGTTAATCATACACGACCTCCTCAACGGCCATGGATATCTTTAGGAACACCAGATAGAAGTCGAACAACATCTATTTTCACTGTAATGTGTTACAATGTTCTGTGTGACAAGTATGCAACCCGACAAATGTACGGCTATTGTCCTAAATGGGCCATGAAATGGGAATATCGTCGAGGAAGTATCCTTAATGAGATAAGAACGTATACAGCTGATATAATATCTCTCCAAGAATTGGAGACTGAACAGTTCTACAATTACTTTTTACCCGAATTGAAAAGAGATGGTTACGATGGTATATTTTCACCCAAATCTCGGGCCAAGACAATGTCTGAGAATGAAAGGAAACACGTTGATGGCTGTGCGATTTTTTACAGAACAAGCAAGTAAGTCCAACAGTCAATGTACCAAAAAGCCTTTTCCTTTTCACTATATAAATGATTGTTGAATCCTTTCTGTTTTATCAGTAAATTGTTGATTTGGTATTTTTGTTGAAAGCAAACAATTTTTTAACTTAAAAAATGGAAATAATATTTTCTTTTGTTTCATCTTTTGTTTCATTATTTAAAAGGTTTACTTTGCTTAAAGAACATCTTGTTGAGTTCAATCAACTAGCCATGGCCAATGCTGAAGGTTCAGATGATATGCTTAATCGTGTGATGACCAAGGATAACATTGGTTTGGCTGCCCTCCTACAAACCAAAGAAGGAGCCTTTGAACCGGGCATATTGTCTGATCCTTCTCAAGCCCTTCACCCGATTCTGGTTTGTACAGCGCATATTCACTGGGACCCCGAGTATTGTGACGTTAAATTGATTCAAACAATGATGCTCATGCATGAGCTTAGACAGATTGTTGAAGATTCAGCCATAGCTTTTCGACCTGGTGCATCTAAACCTGATGCCAACAACGTTCCACTAATTTTATGTGGTGATTTAAATTCACTACCCAATTCGGGTGTCATTGAGTATCTTTCCAATGGCCGTATCTCAGCAGAGCATGCTGACTTCAAGGAATTGGGCTACAAAGATAGCTTAAAGAAACTTGGAATAACTTCTGATAACAAAACTGAATATCTCCATCCTTTTAAAATTAATCGGGCTTATTCAGATGATGTTATGCCCTACACAAATTATACGTAAGTGAATCCATTTAATGGAAGCGTCTAAAATTGTTTGAAAAGATTGAATAGCTTGTAAGCGAGTCTCATTGATAAGAACAAGTAATTTTCTTGTTTTTTACCCTTTATTGATTCTCTTTCTAATCATGATTACTTTTGTTTTGGTAATCATTGATGCTAATAATATGATGCAGAAATAAAAATTTTAACCATAAAATAAGGAAGGGAAGAGAGGATGAAGGATGATTATTGTTGTTGAATGGTGAATGGTGAAGAAAAGGCAAGAAAATGAAATAAAATGTTTAGATATCTTTACCCTTTTATGCATTTTGTTTCACTTAACGGTATTTAATTTTAATTGAAATACAGCTAAATATAATGATTACTAGTTAACAACCTTTTCTAATTTTATCTCTTTTTGTTTGTTGCTCTTCTCTTCCTTCCTTATTCACAGATTTGATTTCAAAGGAGTCATCGACTATATCTTTTACTCTAAGCAACACATGTCGGTTCTTGGATTACTTGGGCCACTTGACGTTGAATGGTTTAAGGAAAACAAAGTTGTCGGATGTCCTCATCCTCATGTACCTTCGGATCACTTCCCACTTATCGTTGAATTCGAGCTGACACCGCCAGCCATGAATCATCTACAACATTCTAACGGAATCCTTCTTCGGAGATAATCATGCAAGGAGCGACTATTTTTATAAAAATACAAAACAAAACTAAACCGAAATAAGCTTCGTTCATACCATCATTCAATCTTTCCATAATCATCACCCAAGCCTCTTCTTTTTCCTCCTCACATGTATTTCCCCTGAAATCGTCTTGTAATCCTTTCTCTCTCTCTCTACCTTATCTTTCTTCCTCTGTCTCTTCCTCAGTCTCTTCCTCCCTTTCCTCCTTCATCATCCGACATTTTTTGTCAACCATCACATTATAAAAAAAGAAAAAAAAACTAATTCAATTACAAATCATTTCTTTCCCAAGAAACAATTTTGCTCCGAGAACATTTTATTTTTCTATTGAATTAATTTTTCTGTTTTGTTTTGCCTTTCCCTTCTTACAGAATGAGAAACTCTTCGAGAGCAAAGAAATGAATGAAAAAAGCTATCATTCGCAATTGTAACAAACCAATCGAACGGGTTATTCCTATCAATCAAAGCTGTATCAACTTTTGGTTAATCAAAGAAAAGATTGAATCTTAAAGCCATTCAAAGTTGACCCTCGGTCAAACAGGTTATTCATTTACAACTATTGATCCCAAGCTTTTCAAAAGCTAACCCTTGTCCAAAAAAAACCTTTAAATGCTGTAAATTGTTTTCTTTTCCCACCCACCGACCCAATCGTAATCATCATTGTCCAGTAATACACCATTGAAAAAAAGATAACTTGTTAATGGTTGGTAAAGGAGGACAATGATGATGTGAAGAAAAAAAAGTTGATTCAACGGAACCAAAATAGATTCAACTCTTTGAATCATCTCTTTCACCTGATTAACCATCAATCAATTGGTTTTGGTCAGATGATAATTGGATTTGACTTTAGGTCAATCTCTCAAGCTTAATTGTTAACTTAATTATTACCCTTGTTGATTCAATTTACCTGCCATTTTCCTCTTTTCATTGCCCAAATGATCTGATTTTTTTATTAAGGTCTATGTTAACTCTTAAATTTATTTACAAAACTTGCTCTAAATTTAGTTGTTTTTTTTATTCCTTGCCATCATTAAATAAATTTTAATGATTTATCTTGATTATTATTTCATTGAACCAAGCTTACCTTGGTTTTTGATTCCAGTAAATCATACTAGAGTTGTTAAACAAGGTAAATACAAATGATTACCAGTTGAAAATCACTTATTCAATGTTAACCTTGTTTCGCCACATTGACCAGCGCAATTAAGGTCACTGTTGGCCTGACTTACAGCTTTATCTTGCTCATCATCATCCTCCTCTCTATCTCTTATTGCCATTAACTCTCGCGGAAAACCCGGAACTTTTCACCTTAATCTCCTTTCAATTTTTTGTTTTCTGGTAAAAAAACTGGTAACCTTTCTCACTGCCTTTTGTATTAACAAAAAGCCCACCCTGGTCACCACCAATCTGTATGATGATTGATGATGTTTTGTTTATCAAATGTTTGACTTCTTTTGTTGTCCTTTTGCACCTCTCACACTCACAGTTAATATCATTGAAACTTATGCATCAATTGTCAAGTAATCAACTTAAAGATTTACCTGTTGCTCTCTAATTCATGTAATTTAGTTACCTTGTTTTCAACCTTGCTAACTTTATTTTGTTACTACTTTTATCTGAGCTCTTTAAAAAGCCGGAAGAATCACAAGGTTTGTCTTTGAATTTAGTATAATATAAGCAAAATTACAAGAAATAAGCATTTCAATAACTACTGTTTACTTTACAAATATCATCTTTTAATCACTTGAAATGTGTCCAACAGTCATAATCCTTACTGGTAAGTAATCTTATGTAACTTGTCAAGTAAACTTGAAATCTGTTGGTCACCTTAATCATCTTTGGCTTTTTAAATTCCATTTGGCCTTAAATGCTGTAAACTTAGAAGCCTTCAAATTATTGTTTCATTAGAGTTTATTAATATTCATTCACCCCTAAATAATTTACAACATTTTTTGCCACCATTATCTCAAAAATTTGCACATAATTCATAATTTTATCGATTATCTAAGTACTTTATTTATCCAGATTCACACTATATGATTAATTTTAGTTATTCTAATAAAACTTCGTGTAAATAGTATTAATTAACAGCAGATTATAATACATAGACTATAAAAGCTATGTTTAGTAAAATTATTTCCCATAAGTCTCTATATCCGTAGTTTTATTTCATTCAGCAAATTAATTAATTAATTACCAGATTCCTGACTATGCATGCCTATTTAATCACTACTAATTGAGACTAATCATAAAGATTTGTTGGTCAAAAACTGTACTGGTTAGGTTGTTGGTAAAATTTAGAAAAGTATTACGAATATTTTATATCACTACTCATCAAATCAACTGACCACTGAGTTAATATCTGACCGTAATATGAACATAAATCATAATCATTAACTACTCATCTTGATGAGAACCATTAATCAAGAGTATTTTTATGAATCATTTTTTCAACTTTGAAGACTTGTTTGGACTTGAGTTAAATGTTTAGAAAAACTTGGTCGAATTGCACTTTGAAATTGTTTTAGTGTTAATCGATATAAACTGTCAATTGTTTTTGGACATCATTTGTTTAGTAATAATTTGCGTTATTAGTTAAATCAGTAATTTTTTGTGAATAAAGACTGTGCAAAGATTTAATGATTTTTTGATGGGTTAATTAGCCAGTTGTCAATCAAATGAATCAGATGAATTTTTCATTTTACCAAATATCGCTTTCGGTTCAATTATCAATCGGCTGAAAACAAAGTGAAAAGTAAATGTTAACATTGATTTGTTGTTTTTTTGCTAGCATCGTGACTTTATTGTGTGATATTATGGCACAGATAAAAACAAATTTATAGGAAATAAAATAAATACTTGATCATATAAAATTAATTAATTACATTTTTACATGAATTACAATTTGTACAATGTGATACAATTTGATAAGATAACAATAACAAAGACAAGACTAGATTTTATCCTGATAAACGACGAGATTTAACATTGACTTTGTATGTTAACCGAGCTAAATTTTGATTACCTGATGAACAGGGTTCAATGGAAACATCATCGATAGCGATATCACCTAATTCGGACCCAATGGTTGCCACGAATTCCAATTTGAATGAACCATCAGGAGTGAAAGGAATACGCTTCTCAAGCCATTTAGGTCCAGAAGCACCCGACTTAGAGAATAGCTGTGTTGATCCTGTTTGCGTTACCAGATTGACTCGAAGTGATCCTACCACTAAGCCCCACATGTAATAACCAAAGTCTAGGCAAAAGGTGACTCCACTGGATGACAAAGGTAGGTTTGGAGTGGCTATGATAGCTTTCAGTCCAGTGTCTAAATTTTGTGTATCTAATCGTAAGAAGTGCCCATCAAGAGTTCCAAGTGTCAAGTCTGTTAATGGCCCCGTTCCTGTTCTGTAATGTTTTCTTCCAGAGGAAATTTCCCAATCAACATCACCAGATGCTGCTATCCAACCACAATCTGTACTTTCAAAGTCACAGTAATGAGATACGACCGGTACACATCGCGGTCGTTGACCTGACCATGAACCAGTGGATAAACATATTTGTGTCGAGCTACCAACTAGACTGAACCCAGATGCGTCACAGGAATAGGTGACCTTAGATCCAATGTTAAAATCTGTTGAACTTTTTATTATCACATGAGCATTGAGATTTGGCTGTGGACAGGAATTCGTCTCGCAGCGGTAAAGTGTATTTATTTTGCTGATGTCTTGCTTTGTTAAAAAAGTTGAACTTCCAAGATCTTCAGGTCGAACTTTTGTATCGATTGGTAGTAAACTTGCCAATTTACCGTCTCTGGAGTAATCAGTGTATTTGTAATGCATAACTGAATAATAATCATAATCCCAAGATCCTGGTTCGGAAGCGTACTCATCAGATATTTTGAAGTTTCCTATTCTAATTGGATCAATGTTTTCCCTTATTACTTTAACAAATTTATCTCTATCTGGACGATTATGTTCATGCCAGAACCCTATTGAATGTAGCAATTCATGAAATACAGTTTTTTGGTTGAAGCAATCAAGATCCAAACTTAGTTGTTGTTCTCACCACACGACCACATCGGGAATAACAGCCTTTACCTCTCATTATGTTCACATAGTCTTGTTGACCGGAATAAGGTACAAATTTGATGCAAGTTGAAGACTCGATTGATGACATTGCTTTTTGCAATAAACTTAACTGATCAGCTGAGTAATCAAAAGAAATTTTATATGGAATAGTTCGAGTCGGCCAAAGAGTATTGAAATCTCTTGGTCCATTTGTGTAGGAGCGTTTACGAGTTAATGATACGCTATTTCTTGGACGGTGCTTCTGACTGGAAAAATTTCTTGATTTTTTTGGACATTTTATATCGCCCTCAACCAAACATACACTCTGTTTTGCTGTACCTAAACGAATAAGAAATAAAATAAAAAACTTAATAAACTGATATAATATACTTTATATAATATATATTGATTTAGTTGAGATTTCGGGTTAAATTGCATACAATAAATGTATTAAGTAATACAATTTTCGGGGAAAAATGCGCTAATGACGATCAATTGCACATCAATTTGAAAACATTTGGAATGCAATTCCATGAAAAGGAAACTTGATAATGATTTAATAAGAAAACATCTGTTGTATTTTTATTTAATAATAACCTGACAATTCTTGAAATTTCAATCCTAAAAATCGCGTAAAAGTTGATACTCAAGAGTATATGTCATGATATAACTTCTTCCAACTAAATACAAACACTGAAATTCACATTTGACATATTCTGTGTAACTAGATTCTGGTTAAACTAACAATATCTTGAATAAATTCTGATCAATAAACAGATTAAACAAAATAATGTAAGAGCCTAAGTCACTGTCAAAGTATAACTAGCAGGTGGAACACACGACTACCTGAACTAACCGAATCTGATTCAAATTGTGGCAACTTTACTTAACATAAAATGATCTGAATAAATTGATACAAGTAAACATGACTTATTAACTTGTGTATCGACTTCTTAACGACAAAAGATATCTGAACTGAAATATGTGTCTTTGTATTTCCGAAAATTCAACCTCAGGCGAAGCTGTCAAAGTTTACTCTCAAAGATTTTTTGGTTTGTCTAATTTTTGTCATAAAGTCTTGATCAATATGTCAATATATTTCAAATTGATTCCAATCTGAAATGATTGAGTTGAAAATTTTACTTACTTTCAATGAATAACATGGAAATTATAATCAGAGTTGCAATTTTGATGCTTATCGTTGAGTTAACCATGGCTTTTGGGAATGACTTGAACTCTCGTGGACCGGCGAATTGACTTGAAGCTCACAAAGAAAACTCTTCGGTACTGATGTTTACTTTAAAAACGTATGGGAAATCAACGTAAAGTTATTAATAACAGATTTTAATTGAAACGATTAGTGTGAAACTTCAACGATGAGTTTCAGTGATTAATGAATTATAATGACAATTACAGGTGAAGTTTATTTAACGCCCATGAGCAAATGTGACGCAAAAAGTGATTGGCTTTATTATTCAATGGGAAACAATGTATCATTGAAAGCAATCTGTTTTGGTAATCAGTTTATTCTGAATTTCTAGTAATTATCAATAGTTTCAATCTATTCTTTTTTGTTGGTTGATCAGGTGATTCCAAAATAGCTGCCGAGACTTTTGGCTGACCGATGGCTCCAGAAATAATCGAGGACGGAATGTGGCTTAAATTTGCAATCTTGTTACCGAAGACTTTTTCATATAAACTTTTTGCTACCTCAGTCTGGGTTATGGTTACCATTCAGGTTATGGAAACAGTCAACCCACAATGTCTATATCAGCTTTGGTCAACATTTCTCTAATTTTACATTTGCTGGAGACTAGGAAACATGAGAGACTCTGATATTTATTAACAGGAAATCCTTAGATTCTGGTTGAACCTTTTCAGTGAAATTTGTGTCAATTTCTCAATTCAGAGATATTATATTTTGTACTTTGCGCTCATCAAGCTTTTGGTAACATCGTATTGGTAACATTACTCAACCTGCCATAAGGTTGAAATCAACGCGTGCGTTTTATAAATAAATTGCTATTTCCATGTGGTTCCAAGGAAAATGTTCAGTGTTGATAGTTAATCTACCCAAATTACGCTATCATGTTCGATTTAAATCATCATTATCAGTCATCTTCTATGGTTCGGATGTATTTAGTTTAGCAAGTTTACAAAAGCTGTATAACCTGCTGACAGTACCAGCTGATTTTAAAACTGTAAAAGGCTCTTCAAATGAGTGTTTAATTGATAGATTGGAAATAGTCACTAAAGTAAGTTTAATTTCAATTGATTTATCGCTGATAATCTCTCATTATCTTCTATGTTCTGTCTTAGAATGATCTCAATCGTGTTGCTCAATTTGCCAAAGCCAAAGGATTGACTGTACACCAATGGCCTCACAGATTAAAACCAGACTGTTATGACTTAGGTGTTGTTGTTTCTTTTGGACAATTAATTGACGAAGAATCCATTAAGAGTTGTAAATATGGTATGATCAATGTTCATCCTAGCTTGTTACCTAAATACCGAGGATCTACACCTATCCAAAAAGCCGTATATGCTGGAGACAAAGAAACTGGGTTAAGCGTAGTCACAATTCAACCGAAAAAATATGATATTGGGAAAATTTTACTTCAACAGAGGATTGAAATAGCTGAAGGAAGTAAAGCAATTGACTTATATAACAGTTTAGCCGAGATTGGAGCCACTCTTTTGATTCAGTGTATATCAAACTTGCCATTTTATTTATCAAATGCTAAAGACCAGCAAAAGGAGGGCATTTCTTATGCAGTCAAGCTCAAGAAGTCCGATGGTCAGATTGATTGGAGAGTCATGACAAGTGATCTAGTTGATAGGACATTTCGTGCCTATGATGGTTTCATTCCTATATACTGTAACTGGATCAATGGATCACCTTTATTCCTAATGGACATGATTGACACAAGATTGACTCATAAGCTTAATTGGGACAATTTGGAAAAGATTGTTTTCGGTCACGTCTGTCATGACAAACCTGGACTAGTTATGTACAATTCGCGGTTAAATGGAGTCTGTTTCAAGTGTAAAGATAATAAATGGGTTGTATTTAGGAAGTTAGCCTTAAAAAATTATGCTAAAATGACTGCCTTAGACTTCAAAAATGGATTTATTAGCAAACAAAAACAGCCTTTAATATTACCCTCTGTTATTAAACATTAATTATTAGTTTTGATGTTATTTTAGTAATTATTTTACATGATTAGTGTACTCAGCTTTCACCTTCCATATTAAATTTTCTGTTCATCGACTTGATTACCGCGTGGAAACATATTTGGACTAACAAATCGATTGAAATGAGATTGATTCAATACAACCTGTGCAAATATTATTTAAATTTTTATGATATTGATGGTTATGTATTTGATACATTCATAATCAAAATTGTCGTCATTTTGAGAAATCTTTCCGCAGTTATCAAATGATCGAATTCAAAATGACTTCCAATCAAAATAGTGATACTAATGTTACTCCGTGTGGACAAAGATTTTTAATCAATTACAAACCAAGTGATCCAATCAAGTCAAGATACAATTGGATGGTCTTTTTGTTAATCATTTCAGTGACCATCGCTATGGTTTCAATTCTTTGGGTCACCTATTTATGGATTAAAAGCAACGAGATAAAAAGTCAACTCAAGCCAAATCAACTATTTGATACTGGACGACAAATTATTAATGAGTTAACAGCGAGAACTCATATTCAACATGAAAATAGATCTGAGGAAAACAAGTTTGATCTTAAAAGCCTATTTAATATTGCCAAAGATGCTGTAAGAAAATTCAATGAAACTATTCATTCAGATGCTGATCATTAAATCAACAACAAAATTTTTTAAATCATCGTTAAAAAGTAAGTTAAATTGTATTCTATCAAAATATTGAAAAATAAATTACTAATTGATTCTCGCCATTCATCCTTATATTTTCTAAATAATTTCATTTCATCAGGTTAATTTAATGAAGCTTCTAAGTAATAATTGATATAATTCTTTGTATTAGTCAACATATAAACGATTGTAATTAAGGCATGGAAATGTGAAAATGGTATAGAATATACAAAATCCAGAAATCAGGGAGAAAATATTTTTCGAGGGTAAAATTTACAATCGTTGAAATATATCTTGAGCATGTAATTACAGAATAAACATTATTAAAGTAACAAATATATAGAATAATGATTATGATATTAATGAATTAGTGGACTTTAAGTTAGGGCCAACCAATAATCACATTATGTTACATACAGAGGAATTGATCACATTTTTGTCTTTATGTATAATAGTCGGAATGATTTTTTCAATCGATTCGGTGCTGGGAGTTGAAGAAACTGGTAAATTAAATCCTACGTCTCTTGCTGCCAAATATGTGGCACCCAAAGATGATGGACGAGTTATTCTGACCAAATTCAATGCTATTCCAAGAGTTTGAGATTCATCGATAAAACCTTGTTTGAAATTAAAGAATAAAAAATTAAGACGAGTTTCAATTTAATTGATTTGTATCAGTGTTACCTTGCCTGAGAAGTTTCCAACTTTTAAACACCGAGCCAACACAGACGACAGTTAGTCCATCCTGGTTATTTAATAAGGCCTTGGACAATGAAAATAATGAAAACAAAGGCAATCGTTAAAAATAAAGTAAACGTTATAGAATAAATAAAGTCTCGTTGAACATACAGGATCAATTTTAGGACCAAGTGCAACAATATGACGAGCTAACATAGTTCCAGCATCATAAAACAATTTCTGGGCGCATTTGTCACCTTCATCAGCAACTGGAAACAGAACAAATAAATTCAATTAGTTTGACTATAATTCATTATTTATGATAATTGTTTAGATTACCTTTAGCTAAGTGAACACAAAGGCCGGCGAAACGAGATTTAACAAAATCTATGTAGGTTGGTGCGATTAGTCCTAAAGAATCATTGACCTAATATGAAGAAAATAATGATTAAAATTCAAGTTCGGGTACAATATAAGCTTTAAGAAATCTAGCTTACATTGAAATATTCGTAAATCGTTTGGCGCACTTTTTCGATGGGAAATGGACATATATTGAAATTGGTTTCATGTTGAATAATTGTTTTAATTGCTCTTTGAACAATCCAATAACCAGATCCTTCATCGCCAATTAAATGTCCCCAGCCTCCACAACGATGAGTTTTGTTGTCAGGATTTACAAGCAAACAGTTGGATCCTGTTCCAGAAATAATTACTATTCCTCCTACATGGAAAGAATCAGGAAATATAAAAGAAATGAGAATTATATGTAAATTTAAAGTCAATCATTAGCTCTTCTAGACTATTTCATTATGATAATTTGTTAAGAACTTTAGAATTGGTTAAAACAAGTTTCAACAATTATTACAAATAGATTATCTAATGAAATTTCTTGCAATAGTTGATACGAATATACAGGAACTGAAATTAACTGGCCTAAATAGTCATGTTGAACAGAAAAAATGTATCAATCATCTGTTTATCGTCCTCATCATCAAAAGAGATAAGCTTTTAATTATAGTTGTTAAAGTTGCTCAGTTAAAATATTTACCATTAGTACAAGCTGTTAATAAAGATCCAATTGTATCACTTTCAACACTTATTGATTTGGATAATTGAGGATATCTTTTTTTCATCGATTCAGCAAATTCCCGATTAGCTGTATCTTCTTCACAGCCGGTCATACAAAGTCCCTGCACAAAAAAACGGAAATAAAAAATTAGTAAATTTTCTCAATTTTGAACCAATCATTAATAATATTGAATGAAAGAAAAAAGCAATCAATTTAAATTGTTTCCATACCAATCCTTCTAGAACGATGTCTTCATCCAGTTGAGCAGCTTTTTTAGCTTCTTCAATTAATTTAACTATCCGTTTCTGGCATTCCTCTACACCAAGTATCTGTGATTGGAATAAATAACGAAAATTAGTTTTAGCTTCGCATATGATGGCAAACACTCGTAATTTGATTTTCCGACTGATTCTAGTTTTTTAACTAGGGCAAGTCTTGAGTAATTAGTTGATAATGTTTTATTAATAGATAACAATGTCATCATCTTCATTATCAATCTTTTTTGATCACTAACAAAGAACAAGCAGCACTTTAAAAGCAACTCGATGTGTAGTAACAAAATGTAAGTAAAATCTTACCAAATAATTAGTCTCTGGGCCACCTTCAATTTGAGCGACAATTTCACCATCACCACGAATCAAGGTAATATTTGAATTTGATGCACCTCTGGTAATTTTAAGAGAAAGAACATGAAAGTCAAATAAAAGATTTTAACAGCTTCAGGTCACAGGGGTTTACTATTGAACTATTCAAGGGATAAATAACCAGGACTAGAAATCTCAAAGTTCAATTGTAGTCTCAACATAATTAGTCAAGAAATACGTGGAAAAGTACAAACCCTTCAATACCAGCAAAATACATTGTTGAACGAGAAATGAACACGAATTGATATCAAAATCACAAACAATCGAAATAGAAGATTTTAATTTTGATTAAGATCAAATAATCAACAAGTTGAAACTAAAACAAAGTTAAAATTAAAACTGAATGAGTTGATGTAGTAGAAAGTAAAGATGCGAAAAAGTTCATGAAATGAACTCTCTAAATTTTCAATGCAAAACAAAACACACATTCAGGTCTGCCATCTACTGTGTTTCCAACTCATCTAAGAGTTGCAATGTTAATAAAACAATTAAAAACCCTTTCAACACCTTAATAATAAAGATTAAGTTTCTTATTAGAATGTCGCAAGTTGATGATGTAAATGTAGCTTCATTTATTGAGACTTAAAACAAAGCTGATTAAATTATTCACCAAGACTGACAATTTTTAGCGGTCAGCTTCGTAGTTACATGAATGTGTGTTTTGCTTCGGAAAATAAAATGTTAATTTTCCAAAATTTGATTAAGGTATTTCACTATGTGAGAAAGTAACTAATTGAAAACTGAGTTCTGATCAGATGATTGTATGATTATGATTATAATTGCACTGTAAATGTCGAAAACTAAATAAATGTCTGAAAATTGAATTGCGCGCTGTTTTTTTAAATGCTGACTCTATGGTAACAGGAAAATTTCAAAACGTGTTTATCTTTCCTGGTAAAAAATTGTTTGGTTTTGTTTTATTCAAGTGTCTAATTTTACGTAGTGTTTAATTTAATTATCTTGTGATTTACATTGTTTAAAGATTAGTCATGGCTGCAATTGACTGTAATATTGGATCAATTTTAGAGCAGATCGAGGAAAAGGAGAAAGAAGCTTTGAAATCTGTTCAAATTGAGAAGGAACTTGTTGATTTGGATTTAGGCCTGTGTTTGATGGTAGACAATAATCCATTGGATAGTAATGAATTACGATCAAAAAAGGAAGATTATCTTCTTAATTTAGCCAAAACAAATGGACAATTTTTAATGAACAATTTAGCTGATTTAGAAACTGAAACTGTTGAGGGTTATACTTGTGTTAAATTACCTGCTGGAAAAACACCAATTCCTAGAGCTTTACCGATTCCCAAGCCCAAACCACCTACCAAATGGGAAACATACGCAAAGGAAAAAGGTATTCAACACAAAAAGAGAGAAAAATTGGTCTGGGATGACGTCGCTAAACAATGGAAACCTCGTTATGGTTATAACCGAATCAATTCCACCAAGGATCAATGGGTTGTCGAAGTACCGCAAAATAAAGGTTTGTAACTGGAATTTTGAGAGGTCTACCCATGAACTTTTTATTGATAAAACAATTTTTTCGTTGCAGATGAAAATACTGATATGTTTGAAGAAATCCAGGAGGCAAAACGAGAAAAGGTCGCCAAAAACGAATTTCAAAGACTTAGGAATATTGCTCGTGCTAATAAAATTAAAGGTAAAACACTTTCATGCTTCGAAAAATTTATCATTATCTAATGATCTTTATGTTATAGGCTCAAGTTTGACTCCAGTTTTACCAAAAGATGGTAAGGAAAAAGAAACCAGGGACGAAGTCATGAATGCTGCCGCAGTTGCACGAGTATCCACAGCTTCATTAGGAAAATTTGACAGAAAACTACCTAATGGGTTAGTACAATGGCATTTAGCCATGTCTCAATTGCTAATTCTAGTTACTAATTACAATAAAATTTTTCTATTGCTACAGTTTGGATAAAATCGAAGCTAAGTTATCATCCAAAGCTGCAAAAGCTTCAGGGAAGAAAAGGAAATTTGAATCCAATTTCGACAACATAGATAAAGAAAAGAAAAGATATTCGGATATTTTAAATAAAATAGACAAAGGAGATAAGATTGATGGCAATAAAGCGTTAAGCATAATAACACAGAAAAAGATCAACGCGTAAGTAAATTCATATTATGCAGTAAATCACCAATTAACTTACATTCATTTTCTCTCTGCTATTTCTCGTCCTTAGCGCTGTTAAAAGTGATAATGAAAAAACGAAAGGTAAAGACCGAAAATCTAAAAAGGGTAAAAAAGCTGGCAAAAGAGTATCTTTCCACAATAGATCTCAACAAAAGAAGAAGCAAATGGGATCTAAGGGCGGCTTCAAAGGTAAATCAAAAGGTGGACCAAGGAAGGGTAAATAGTTAATTTACTGATGAACAGTACTTTTCTATTTGCCTGTTAATGAATATCATATTTTGTTGAAAATATATTGCAAACAATACAAACTGTGTACGATATTTATTAATAAATGACTTGTGAAGTTGCTAAATAAATAAATTAAATTTGATAAATCTCAAACAGAATTTTTTCCTTTTCATTTCATTATTGCACACCAAAATAATCATTAATTTAATCAAACATTCTCGGTAAATTTGTTCAACATTTGAAAATTTTGTACTTAACTACTGTTTTCTCAATGACCGTGAGATGTCTCTGTTTTTACATTTAAATGTTTTGTTGTTTTGTTATTCTCAGAAAGGATCACATAATCTTGGTGTAAACTCAACTGAAGAGCTAAAAGTCATGGAAATTTGCTAAAAATGGTTTAATGATGAAAACCTTTGATTACATTGCTAACCTTTAATAAATGAAGTTTTCATTTTTCTGCTCTTGACGTTGTCAATCCAAGAGTTACAATATTCTATTTTTAAAGCAAGATTGTTGACTGGTTTCATCAACCACAACACCAATACCTCAAGACCAACAAAAATTGAACCTAATCTACTGATCTTTACTAAATGCTTTACCAACTGTAACAATGAAGTTAATGTTTAATCCAACGGTCAACCTGTTATCCATAATTGTCTTGTTAACTCGATTCAATTTTGTTTACAATTACTACTGTGACCATGATGCATGTGGATCACATCAATATTGTTGCGGTGAAAACATTTGTTGCCTTTATTACAATTACTACTGGACTTACTATCTTTGGATGACACTAGTTTTGATGATTATAATTATCTCCTTCTGTTGGGCAACCTTTCATCTATATTACGAAGAGGATCGATACATGATTAATCAAACCTGGATCACCAAAACAATTGGTAAAGTGTTGGAAAAATTACGTCCACCTCCATCAACAACCATATTAACTTCAACATTATTAAGGGTAAATCTTGTCTTTATTTTTTCCTTTGCCCTTCATCTGAAATTACCCTAAATTTCCCAATAACCAAACCAACCTGTCAAGTTAAACATATCAAGGTTACAATCATGACAACTCTGGCATTATTAATATATTTGATTGTTGAAACTTTGCCTTGTCACACTCGTCCATTCTCCTGAGTTCTCCTTCCTTCCATCCTAAACATTTTTCAGTTGAAAAAACTGGTTAATCTTTGTTAAAGTTATAACAAAGGCCAGCATCAGATAACCAGTACAGTAGTGGTCAGGGTTGAGTTAACAAAAAAGGGTCAGACTCAAGTTAATTCGTCCACATCTCTAGCATATTTAGTTGGTAGAGACCAGAAAAAATAGAAACTGAACAAAATAAAGTTCAATTTTATTGGTACTAAATCATTGTCAGAGAACAATTATCTCCGATTTTGTTGACTTAACCCTGACCAGTACTGTACATTGTACCCAAAAAACCAGAAATGACGAAAGGGGAAAAAATTGATTTCAAAATAATACAAAACTTCTGAGCCATAAAGATAACTGTCTTTGATTAGGCGCTTTGTTTAACAGTAATAGTCTTTGCCATCATTTTACCTTAATTATCACCATTACCAGCATCAATTATCAAAGGGCTGTTAACTTTTATTCAAAGCAATTTAACCCAAGCGAACAAAGAGAAAAATCTATTCATTTTTGGGTCTTCTTCTTACATGGTTAAGCTTAATTTTCATGACATTAAAAAGTTATCATTTTCTATTCTTTCCAGCTTTTCTTCTTCTCTTCATGTAACCTTTCCTGATAATTGATCATATTAATGTTCAATTTGATTACACTTGCATTGTGAAGATTTCATCGTTCAAAGGTGAAACATTTAATTAATTAGAGGATAATTAATTAACATCAATCAAACCATGTTATTCAAATTTCTTTTTTTTCTTCTCACAAAATTTCCATTTTGGGTTTCAACTTGTAATTTTTACCCCAATAACAATTAACTTTATCATTATGCATTTGATATTTCCTGGAATTCAGCTTTTTCATGTTACTCACAATACAGATCATTATTCCATTGAATGGTTAATCGATTTTTCGCTAATTATCTTCGTCATCACAATTCATTTTTACCTTTACATTTATGTGTATCATCACGTTTAACGTTTAACCGGTGAAAGTTAAATATTTAACATACAATAACGATTACTATTAGAAACTCAACAATTCCTGTAAATCTTGTCATTATTTATTAACCATCTGCTAATCATCACTAAATCAAAAGGCTCAATCGCTTAAACCCAGAAAATTGAATTGATTGTTGAGAGACAATATTTAATGGCTTACAATTTCAATTCCAATGATGATCCTGATTATCCTTGTGAAAATGATTCTGAAACTCCATCTTCTTCATTCCACCTTTCATATCTTGTTTATTGTCACAATTGTAACCAATCAACATTAATTGTCAAACCACAATCTAATGTTAACCATTTGTTTGCCCATTTATCATCTTTTGTTGATTCAGTCCATCTTAATTTCAATCACTATTTTTGCTCCAATTGCTTCTGTTGTAGTTAATTATTAGCAATCAGAATCATTTCCTTTGCCCATTTGTTAATATATTTATATCCTTTCTTTCATTCCCATTGTCATCATCAACTTGGATATTAATATATCAATCAAAAATTTCCATCCATTCAATCTGATTTTTCTTCATGACATTTCTTTCATGTTCAATCTGTCCCAATATCTGAATATCCAATCAGTCTCTTTGACATTTCACCAAAATTCACTTCTTAAGTTTTTTTGTTTATTTCAGACTTTTCCTCTTATGTTTACATAGATTTTGAATTTCAAATTTTACCTCTCATTTGAAATCACATTTATTGTCATTGATGTTTCACGTTCATTTTCATGTTTACTCTTGTTTCGTGTTTCACTTTCATGTTAACGTTAATGTGTTCCCCTGTCATCTGAATAACCCTTTCATCTAAAGTAACGTGTTTATCACTTTCAACTCAATATTAAACCATTTCAACTTTTATCCATTCATGTGTTTCAACTGTAAAACATTGATTGATGATGGCTAAATTTACATTAATGAGCTGAAAAAATAGGTGGTAAAGCAACATCAAGTGTTGAGATTGTTTTCCCATTGAGTTTTACAGAACACAATGAACCATGTTAAGAAGGATGAGAATGATGAAGACAGAGGAAACAGATGAAAAGAAATGAAGATAGATTGATTCTGATCCAGGTTTCATTAACATCTTACAATCACCTTGAGTTGAACAACAACAAATGTATGAAAGCCAAAAATAAAGTCACTCAAGTATAATAATAATGGTGAAGGTGAAGATGATGATGATGGTAGTTTTGATGGTTAAGAAGGCAAAAGTATGGTTCATCTCCTTGAACAAAAATACACCGAACAAGAAGAAGAAGAAAAAGATAATGAAGAAAAGGATGAAGATGAAAAGTAGTGTATAGTGGACATGAATAGACAAACCTGTAAAGAAAGTCTTTCATGTATTACATTAAACATCCATTACAGAGGAAAAAAATGCTCATGATAATATAAAATAATCCAGGTTATACAATTGAAAGGCATTTTTTGTTGACTTTTCACCAGAAAATAATCTTTTTATCCTTTTCTTGTTCCTCTGTTAACGGTAAAACAAGCTTAATCTTTTGTACTTTATTCACTTCTATTGCAAGATTATCGTTCTGTCCGTTGATGACCATCAAACGATTTCAGTGTTTTTTAATTGAAAAACAAGATTGATGATAATATCCAAAAAATTAAACACTTTTATTGGCCACAAAATGCTTCATCATTTTACCATCACTGGTTCAATATTTCATCTAATCACTGAAACTGTCAATTGTTTTTTCATTTCAACTTTCAATTTACACACAATCAAAACTCATGATGAGTAAATTTTTGAATTGTTTACAGAATTGTACAATTCATTGTTTTTCATTTCTGTTAAAATCGATTGACTCAGTCACTGGACACAAATAGCTGATACTGAGTCAGATAAAAATTCAGCTTTTATATTTGATTGTTGAGTAAAAAGCAAATGTTTTGTACTATTTGATTGACTCAATGATATGAAAGGAACCATCTTTTTTGCTTCCTAATAACAGTCAATGATAATATACTTTTTTATTGAATGCAATATTGTACTCTAAATAAATATATTCAAATGTTATTACTGGTAATAATGGTAATAATTCAAAGGCAGAGACAAACAATGATGGTAAGATGATGAACATGATGAAGATGCTGGAAACTAAACATGATAATGATAATGATAAAAAAAGTAGAGAGTTGAGAGGAAAGTTGAAAGTCAAAGTTAACAATGATAATAAATCAAGTGATAACAGTTTTTGCATTGTCAACCTTTCCCATACAATAGACTAGGTAAAGGTCAACTTTTGTGTTGCACTTTTTATTTTTACTGTTGACATTTGTTTAGCTTTAGCCAAGTTGATAACAGTGAATGATGATGTTTAATAATATTACATTGCTATTATTATAATGGTCACTTTAATATCCAGTGGACACAAACCTGATACATTTGCTTTATTTATTCACCAACACTTTGCAGCCTTTACCTGTGACATTCACAAATGTTTTGTTTTTCATCTCAAATATCATCAACCATTTATCCTATTATTATGTTTTATAACCTCTTTAAGACCAACATTTACCTTCATTATTGATTGGCTTTTTGGGTTTTCATTAAATTTTGCTTCCAACCATTCATGCTCATTGATATTGATAAACTTGATTAACTTTAATTAGCTGAGTTAATCAACTCATAACAGTCCAATGAACTTGCAAATCAACTCATCTCATTATCAGTCGATTACAATCTTTCCATTATGTTCATCTTCCTTTCATTACTCAATTTGATTTCATGATAATCTTTCGTGTCCATTTCATGTTAGACTTTTCCAATTTTCCTCAATTTCTTCAAGTAATTCATCTTAATATTTTTATCTATTGACTCAACTCTTTAAACATGATATTCACAAGATATTTCATCGTAAAATATTCAACTGAACTGAAACTCTCATTGAGTCTTCGATTGAATAAAATTGTTTCTCAAAACGATTTGTATTTTGTGTAATTGTAAGTTAATTGAAGGTTAATTTGGATGATTTAGTTGTGTTAA